CTGGGTGCTGCCCGCCTCGGCCTCTGTCTCCAGGTGGGACATCTCTTTGAGGATCTTGCAGGCGGCCAGGGCGGCTGCCACCCCTTCCTGGCCCTGGGAGACGGGGTCTGAGGAGGCCGGCCCGCCTCCCCACCCTTCCCTGGGGACGACCCAGGACCCCTCTGGACAGCCGCTCACCATGGCCCAGAAGTAGGTGGCCATCTCATGGCGACTCAGCAGCACGGCCCACAGGAACAGGTCCCTCCAGGGGTTCTCGCTTCTCTGGTTCAGGTCCAGCAGCCACTTCTGGCCCATGGGCCGCCTGGCTGGGGCCCTCTCCTGGAGGACAAGGACGTCAGCCTGCAGCGGGGGTCCCCGCCTGCCCCCCAACGGCCTCACTCACCGCCTGGTAGAGCCCGCGGCAGGCGTCGTGCAGGAAGTCCTTGAGCACGCGGGACACCTCGTGCAGGGAGAAGGCGGGTGTCCCGGTGGGCAGCTCCCGGGCCTGCTGGGAGCCCAGGCCGGCCAGCGTCAGCCGGCCCTCCTCGTGCTTGCGCTGCAGCAGGTCGAAGAGCAGGCTCTTGGGGGGAACAGAGCGGTAGAGCTGCTCCAGGCGCCCGTAGGTCAGGAAGTCGGCCACGTCGGCGCCGTTGTCTACGAAGAGGCGCACGAACTCGGGCTTGTTGCTCACCAGCGCGTCCATCAGCACCTCCTCCAGGTCACGGGACTGGGCCACACCGGGGGGAGAGTGAGAGGGAGCCGGGGAGCGGGGTGGCCACCAGGAGGGCCGGCACAGACCCCCAGCTCCTGGGGGCACAGCCTGTCCCTCTCGGCTGGGCCCAGCCCACCTCCCACAGTAGTTCAGCACATCCCGCCTTGGGGAGCCAATGAGTGAGGTCGCCTCCAGTAGGTGCCCTGGCCTCCCCTGACCCCCACGGCCCAGCTGGGCCAGAATGGACCTGGCCAGTGGCCCTCAGGACACCACCTGCCCCCAGACCCTCGACACAGCCCCTGCCCAGTGCTGGCCAGAGTCAGGCCACCACCTTCCACTCCACGTCCCCATTGAAGATCTCGTTCTTGGCGATGTCCACGTGGTCCCAGGCCATGGCCAGCTTCAGCTCATCCAGATAATCCTGTGCCTCCTGGCTGTGACTCTTACAGGCTGCAGGCAGAGCAGATGGAGGGCATGAGGGTGAAGCCAGGAGCCAACCGAGCCGTGGGCACCAGGTCCCTTGAGGTGCGTCTCCTAGACACATGGCAGCTGGAACGGTGGCCTCGTTCGCACCTCTGGGTGATGGCAGGAGGCACAAGACATCACAAGACCCCTGGGGCCGATGCTGGGAGCATCAGGACCCCAGTGGGGCCCCAGGGATGAGCAGAGTAGGGGCGGGAGAAGGCGGCCTGTCTGGAGGAGCCCTGCCCTCAAGTGTGTCCCTCTTCCTGCCTGGGCCTGTGTCCGTGGCCAGCAACCAGCCCCTGAGTAAGTGTCTGTGTCCAGTAAGAAGCACATTGAGAGCTGTAATGGCGAAGACTCTGGAAAATATATATGATTTTCATTTCACTATGTATATGTGTATGTACACGTGTAACTGAATCGCTTTGCTGGACACCTGAAACTAACATTGTAGGTTGACTACCCTTCAATAAAAAACGAGAATTATTTAAAAAAAGAAAAAGAAGCACATCGATTGACAGCCAAAAAGTGGGGACAAGCCAAGTGCCCATCAACAGGGAAAGAGGGAGACAAAAGGTGGGCTATACTCAGCCTTAAAAAGCAGCGAGGCCCTGACCCAGGCGACAAGCGAGATGACCGCAAAACCTCGTGCTCAGCAAGGGAAGTCAGACCCCAAGGCCACGTCGTGCGTGGTCCCATGCATAGGGAGTGCCCTGACTAGCCAAATCCATAGAGACAGGCAGTAGTTCAGCAGTTGCCCGGGGCTGGGGGACGTGGGGAGAGACTAACGGGGGTCTGCGGGGTGATGGACATGCTCTGGAGTCAGTGGTAAAGGCTTCACACCCTTGTGAAAATACTAAACCCACTGAACGGAACGCTCTAAGTAGTCTTCAAAACTGTGACAAAATGTATCTAATGTAAAACGTGCCAAATACAGACTGTCTCACGGATTTGCATGTCATCCTTGCATGGAGGCCTTGGTGGTCTCTGTGTTGCCCCAGTTTTGTTGCATGTGACGCTAAGACCAGCACTGACTGTACACACACATTCACACACACACACGCGCACACACAGAGCAGAGTGTGGCCGTCCCAGCTGTCCCGGCCACTGTCAGCCCCCGAGTGGTGGCCCTGCCCCAGGTGCAGGCCCCTGGGAGGCCCAGGCCCAGGCTGGGGCAGGGTGTGGGAGCCGCCCTTTACCGGGCACAAAGCCCTGGGCTTGGGGTGAGGGCCTCCCAGCGGGCCAGCTGCCAGGCCCTCACCTTTCACCAGGGCCTTGAGGATGACAGTGTCCAGCTCCTCGGAGCCCTCCTGCTCGAAGTCGTGCACGGTCAGCAGGTGCGGGTGGGAGGTGATGTTCTGCAGCTGGGGACACAGGACAAAGGCCCTGAAGAGGCCCCCGCAGGGCGTGTGGCATGTGATGCTGTGTCCCCCCGTGAGAAGGCAAGCCCGCCTCCCTGTCCACCCGCGCCCGCTGGGCCCGGGGCAGCCCCATCCACAGACTGGGGCTCCGCTCCGAGGGGCCTCCACTCTGCGAGGGCCTGAGCAGGCGGGGGTGAGCCTGGGGGCTTGCTGCAAGAGGGGCTGGGCACAGAGGTGGCACTGCAGGGAGCAGGGACGAGGGCCTCGACCCCCCTAACTGCAGTCTCCGTCCGGGCGGCTCATACCAGCTCTGTCCAGCGCACGACGTCCTCCCAGGAGAAGTGCTCACTTGGGAACTTCTCTTTAAACTGCTTCTCAGCTACCTGGGGCACCAGGAGGTGGGGCTGGTTCATCAGGGCAGCGAGCACGTCAGCGATGCCCCCTGAGCCCGCCAGGATCAGCCACGGGGCAGCCTGCTCCACAGCCCTGGAAATCCTCTGAGGCGGGTGGGGAGGAAGGGCCGACCCTGAGCAGCTCCAGGCATGGTCCCTGTCCCGGAGGGGCAGGCCCTCAGGGGGCCCCCACCCGCCGTCTGGCCCTACCTCCAGGGTGCTGGGGTCACCGTTGACCAGCAGACAGAGGACGGGGATCTCAATGCTGCTGGTGCCTGCGGACGGAGATGAGGGAGGTCCACCCAGGTGCTCGGCAGGCCGAGCGGAGACCCTGGGATCCAACCTGGGCGGTGACTCCTCCCCTGCCCTGAGCCTCAGACCAACATCCTGCCACGCTTCTGGGCAAATTCCAGCTAGAGGCTTTTTCTAGTGAAGTATGGGCTCCAGGCTGCCCCATCGCCAGGGACAGAGACCCCAGCCCCACACCCCACCATCTGATATGGGCACTTTGTGACTATTTAAATGGGAAGGTAACGTAAGTGATGTTGGCCATTTGGTCCCTGGCCACACCAACCACTGGCTGAGTGCCCGGCATCTCTCCCCATCAGGACAGAGAGCTCTGCTGACAGCACCGCCAGGTCATCGGAGACCCATGGAGCACATCGTGGATGCAAAGGAGGGTCACTGGTCAGTTTCTTTCCCAAGCAAACCGGAAATGAGACTTCAGATGTGAAGCCCCCCAGAGAAGCCTGGACCTGCCCAGCCTGCAGTGTGGGCGGAGCTGGGCAAATGGCCCAGGGAGGACCCGGGGCAGGCGGGACCGCCCCACCCCGGAAGGCGCCTCCAAAGGCACCTCCTGCTTGAGTGCTGAGGCCAGGCAGGGTGCGCAGGTCACGGAAACGCATCTGTGTGGCTTTGGTTGTGTTTTCATTTTTAAAGAACCCCAAGCTGACAAATCGTTCATATTGTTTATAAACATCATAAGCAATTAGATACCTTGTTTATAAATATTAGTTGTGCTCCAGTCAAGGGCAAGTCCAGCTTTCAAGCCGGCCACTGGTCACAGTGGTGCCCATTCCTCGGGCAACACTGCCCCCTGGTGGCTCATACCTCATGGCTGGTGGCAGGAAACAGGCCTCTTACAACTTGCAAAGCTATCTCATCTTCCCAAAGCCCGGGACCACACCCAGAGCCTCTGGGTAGGGGAGCCCCACTGGACACAGACCTGCAACCCTTCTGCCTCCTGACGGAAACGTCACCACCTGGCAGGGCTACTCCCCCCAGATGCGCCCCCATTGCCCTGGCCGCAGCTCCCCACCCCAGGCCCCCAAATGGCCCAGGTCTCAACACTCTAGCAGCCTCAGTGCCTTCAGCCTGGAATGCCCTTCCCTGGCCGCCCTGGAGGTCCTTCCAGCCCTGCCCACACACGTGCCGCCGTGCTCCCCGGCGGCCTCCCGGGCAGCCGGCAGGGCCTCACCCCCGTGGCAGGTCCTTTGCTCCGAGATGTGCCTCTCCAGCCTTAGCCGCAGCTCCGTGGGCCCGTCGCCTTTCCCAGGGGGCCCCGGCTCCACCAGGATGAAGTAGGCGTGGTTGTTGTCCAGGGAGCAGAGGGGGCCCTGGCCGCCACCTTCGTCCATGGGGTAGTGGACCAGGCTGTCCTCCTGGGTCCCCCAGACGCACTGTGAGACCTGGGCCCCCTTCTCCAGACAGAGGGAGAGGCTGGGCAGCTGGCGCCAGGGGCCCAGGGGCAGGTGCAGGGAGGAGACCCTCCAGACAGAGCCCAGGGCTCCTCTCACGGGGCTGCCTGGGCCTCCTCTGGACTGGCCTTAGGCCTCTCCCCAAGGTGAGAGCAGAGGCCACTTGTCCAGGGTCGGTGGCCAAGCTGGGCATTTGGGCACTGATCCTGTGTGGAGTCCTTGGAGCCCAAGTCCCCCATCCCAGGTCTGCGCTGGCTGGGAGCCTGACAGCCCCTCCTGAAGCTGTGATGCTGGGTGATGCTGCCACCTGCTGGCCGTGTGCTGGGCGCTGGGCACTGGGCTCCAGGCTCCGCCTCCTCCCCCTGCTCTCCCTCCTCCTCCTCTTCCCCTCCCCCTCGCCCCTCTTCTGGGCACTAACCTGGGCATCGTCCAGAACCCGACGGTGCAGCACACGGCCCAGCGAGGCAATGCCGATGGCCACCACGCGAGACTTGGTGGACGTGCTGGCCAGTGAGTGGTCGCGCACAGCCTGCCCAACGTGCCGCGCGAGGCCCACGCGGAGCGCGCTGGTCAGGATCCAGGCACCTGGGGGCATGGGGGCTCACTGTGCCTGCAGTCCCAGGTCCTGCCCGGCTGCCGCCCAGGACCCCGCCTGCCGGCAGGGCGTCTGCTGAGAGATGGCTCGCCAGGGGCCATCTGGACAGAACAGGCCATGATTCTGTCCAGTCCCCCTGCTGGATCAGGACCCAGTCCAGGTCCAAATCATAGAGCCCTCAGCCCAGTCTGGGTCATCAGTCTTTTGTTCTTTCGCACCATCATTTCTGCGGGCGGAGGGCTCTGAAGCCCCACATCCCTGGCTGGCTTTTCTGAAGGCCCAGCTGGCCTGAAGACAGAGCCCAGTAACTTGACTCTGGCCCCGGTGACTAGTGGGCCAGATTGATCCCACCATAGAGGCCCATGTGGGCAGCGGGGTATAGAAATTGTCACTGCCCCGGGTGTCTGGCTGAGGCTGGCGGGCCCCACAAGGAGAGGGGCCAGGCACAGTGTGGTCGGGTCCTCCTGGGGGAGGCTCTGGGCCTGGGGGACCCTCAGCCCCTCTGCTGTATCCCCAGGAGCTGCTCCCACTGCCAGCCACGGAGGGAGGGCAACCATGGGGACCATAGCCAAAGGACGGCACGGGTTTGGGGGCCGCGGGGGCCCTGGCCTGCAGCTGGGCCCCACCTGTGCTCTGAGCCGCCTTCACCAGCCCCTTCCTCAGGACATCCCGCAGCCAGGACTTCACGGTGAAAGGCCGCTCCTCGCCCACCAGCGACACAACCAGGTTGGGGGCCGGCAGATGCCACTCAGCCAGCAGGAGGTCAAAGAGCACCGAGGGCGCCACGCCGCTAGGCACCTTCACAAACTGCAGGGCAGGGTGACCAGCGGTCTCAGGGCGGGGTTGGGGGCAGGCACAGTGAACTGATCACAGGGGACCTTGGTAAGAGAGGCCCTGGGCACCAGGCGATGGGGACGAGCCGCAGCCGGAGGTCCTGTCTTGCCCGGCTATGTGACCCGAGCATTCCCACCCCAGTCTGGGCCTCGTATCCCATGTTCTGGACCCGCTGTACATGAGGGTAGGAGGCAGGGGCCAGAGGGAGCTGCCAGCTCCAAAATCCTGCCCACCTGGGGGCTCTGAACAGGCCCGTCAGAGAGAGCGTGGCCCGGGGAGAGCAGGCACCAGTGCTCAAGGTGCAGGGGAGGAAATGGGGCTCAGGGGTTTCGTGAGCACGTGGCGGCCGGTTACCAGGGTGCGGGGCCGAGCCTCAGCGGGGCCAGGGAGGGGCAGCCTCTTACCTTGCCTCGCTTCTTCCCAGACCCTCCGAATTCGATCTCACCCCGGCACAGACCTGGCCCCTGCCTGTCTCCAGGATCCCCGGCGCTGCCAGGACAAATGTCCCCAGCACCTTGCATGGGGTCCACTCTGCAGGGACAGAGTCCTCTCCTGAGGGCGCGAGAGGCCAGCCCTGCCTCCCTTCCTGCCCCTCGCCCCAGCCACCGTGCTGGCGGAGATGTGCCCTCCAAGAAGCCGGCCCGCCTGCGGCCCCACCCCTGCGGCTCCGTCTCTGCCATCTGTGTGCTTGGCCCTCTTCAAGCTCCTGTTTAGTTGCCGGAGCTTCTTCAGCCCTGGGGTGGGGTACGGACGACGCATCGCGGCCCCTCTGCCTGACCCCTGAGCCCGCTACTCACCCCTCCCCGGGCACCACGAACGGGGCATTCCCAGCGCCACTTCTGCGAAGGCTTTGGCAGGAGGGGTCCTGGAAAACCCAAGAGCCCTGGTGGAGGTCTCGCAGCCCACCCGCCCCAGGACAGGGACGGGGACCCTGGGTGGGCCTAGTGCCTGGGCAGAGAGGGGCAGACAGGGGAGAAGGGGAGGCCGGGGTACAGGTGCAGGGGAACCGGGGGGTCGAGGCGGCTCCGAACGGGAGGGCTCTTCCCCTCCCTGCATGCTCGCCGCCTCCAGGGACCTTCCTACTGAGCTCCCGCCTCACCCCAGCCTAGCGCCGCCCGCATGCCCGGGGTGATGGCACGTTCGCCCCACTCCACATGTCAGAGACTTGAGGGCTGGGGTCCCAGGACTGGCCCATGTGACAAGGAGCGGGGTCCCACCAGCCTGCCCAAGCCCCCCAGCGCCTCCCGGACCCACTGCTGGCGGCTGCCAGCCATCTGGCTCCTGCCCCCGCCCCCCAGAACCCGGCACCCACACGGGGAGCAAAGTTCCCCTGAGAGCCTCAGGAGACCCGCGAGGCCCACCCTGTGACGCTGTCTCCCCGCCACCCGGTCCATCAGGCTGTCGGCCGCTCCCCCTTGGACGGAGGAATTTCCCGTCTTCTCCCCGGGCAGCCCCCCCGCCCGCCCCCCGGGAGGCGCCTGGCGGGCGGGGCCCTTCCTGAGGGGAGAGTGAGTCCGCTCGTGTCCCTGCGGCTGGGCCGGCCGCTGTCTCCTAGAGACAGACACCCGTGTACACAGGAGGGGTCGGCGGGAGGTGGGCAGGGCACCTGCAGGCACAACAGGGTCCTCCCACTGGGTCCCCCAAAATGACGTGGCCAAGTCCTAAGTCCTGGTATCTGCGAACCTGCCTTTTGTGGGAATGAGCTCTCTATGGATGTGATGGAGTGAAGATGAGGCCATTAGGATGGGCCCTGATCCAATGACCCAGGGGTCCTCAGAAGAAGAGGGAAGAAACCGTGTGAAGACGGGGGCAGAGTGGGGAGGCGGAGACGAGCCGGGACGCCTGGGCCCCGAAGCTGGAAGAGGCAGGAAGCAGCCTCCCTCAGAGCCTCTGGAGGGCGCGCGGCCCTGTGACTCCTTGACGCCAGACTTCTGGCCTCCAGAGCAGGGAGGGCATCCATTCCTGTTGTTCGAAGCCACTTGTTCTAAGCCCCAGGACACCCACATACAGCCCGTCTTCCCCCCAACACTCAAGCCTTGCCCCCAGACACCAGCCTCCAGTATGAAAAACCAGTCACCACCAGCTTGGAAAGGCTTCATTCAGATCCCGCCCCCTGCACTCCCTGTTCTGGGGGTGGGGGCAGCGGCAGGATTTGCATCCCGCCCCACCCCCAGGTCTGTGCCTGACACCCTGGGTACCAAGAGCCTCTGAGGCCTGGCCCTGCCCAGGTACGGGGGTGGGTCGGGGGACCTGCAGGTGACCACACAGCCCAGGGCAGCTGGACCTGGCCTGGGCTCGGGCCTCTGCAAACGCTCGCCCCTCCCCTCTGCCGCGCGCTGGGCTGATAACGGTGTGAGTGTCCAGGGACCGCGGTAACAACCAACCAGCCACTGGATGTCTAAAACCACAGGAATTCATCTCCCATGGTTCTGAGGCCAGGAACCCCCAGTCACGGTTTCGCAGGTCGCACTCCCTCCTGAGGGCCCAGGGCAGGGTCCTTCCTGCCTCTTCCAGCTTCGGGTCCCCAGGCAACCTGCGCTGTGTCTCCACCACCCCACTCTCCGCCTCTGTCTTCACGTCCCCTGTCCAAATGTCCCTCTCCTTATAAGGACACCATCACTGGATTAGGGGCTCATCCTCTCCCACTGCGACCTCATCTTAGCTAATTGCTTCTGCAAAGACCCTACTTCCAAGTAAGGCCACGTTCCAAGGTTCTGGGTGGATGTGAATTTGGGGGGTGGTGGCAGTGGCCCTCACTCCTCGCAGGGCCCCGTCACCCCCACAGTGAGATGTGCCCCTTGCCCAGGGTATGCGTCGGGTGTGGGCTTTGGAGGCCTGGAGGACACGGACGTGCTCAGGCTTGCTCTGCTGGGGTGGGTGGCCCACGCCGCCTGTTTCCTCACTGACCGGGCAGGGGGCCCTCAGCGGGAGGGGCCACAACCACCCCCCTATCCCATGTCCTGAAGCCCCGGGCCCCTGGTTTCCCACCCCCAGGGAGCCCGGGGGGGCATTTGGGTGCCATGCCGAGTGCCGGGGTGGCCCTGTGCCAGACACCAGGCAAATGGGGCCACAAGCGGGTAGGACATGCAAACGGCGGGATTTGCATGAACAGGTGTCCGCGTCCCTCAGTGCCTGTGGCTGGAGGAGGTGGGGGCCTGAGCAGCCGGCTGTCCTCCGTAGCCCCCGCTGGCACCCTACCCCATGGCTCCTGGCAGGGAGAACGGAGGCAGCGTCTCCAGCCTCAGCCCCAAAGACACGGGGGGTTTCCTCGGGGGGCAGATGGCCACCCTAGTCCGAGGTCACCAAGGAAACAGCCCCAGTGCAGGTGTTGCTGGGCAGCCAGTCCCTGGGGGTCCCAGCCCAGCCTCTCCCTGGGCCGTGTGACTTGGGTGAGCCCCTCGGACTCTCAGCCCCCATCCTGCTCCCTGCGATGTGGGAGATGACAGTGACGAGGAACAGGCACCCGAGGGGCCAGGCTCAGCAGGCCAGCGGTCAGGCCTGCAGCCCCCCTGCCTCCAGGGAGGACAGGCTCCCCTGGTCCGGCCCCCAGGACCATGGGGCCATGCAGCCTGCCCAGACCCACCCCAGCCCTGGCTTCCCAAAAGCCCCTGCCTCACCCAGAGGGACCATCCCTCTGTGGCCCCAGGAAGGCAGGGCTCTCTCCACGATCCAGAGGAAACTGAGGCAGGGGCGGGAATGTGGCCCAGGGAAGGGGTGCCTGGCCGGGGGCTGGCGGCTGGGGCACCTACCTGCTTGCTTTCTCCCTGGGGACCCGACATGCGGCTGCTGGCCAAGGAGCTGGGTGGAGGTGCCCACAGCCTGGCACCTGCCAGCCAGCTCTCCCGCCCTTCTCCCCGCCTACCACGTCTGGCACCTGAGCAGCCAATGCCGTGACCAGCACTGGGCACCACCTGGTCTCAGCCCGGCTAGGCCCAGAGGCCCACAGCCCTCCCCCGGCATGGGGGCCCAGTGGCCTCTTTGGCACAACTGGCAGCCCGGTGTCGAGGGCACTCCTTCCGTGGGCTGCACCTGGGGGCGCCCGCGTCGCTCCCCGGCGTGTCTCACCTTCCCAGCGAGCCTGGGTTTGCCCCTCCAGCAAGTGGGGACGGCTGACCCCCGTGTGCGGCCCCCTCCCCTCCCAGGGCCCCACAGAGCTGAGAGGTGTAGGCCCCCGGGGTGTGCCGTCCTGGAAGGGTGGTCCGGCTACACTGGCCGTCAGGCTGTCAGCACTGCAGGTTCTGCTCGGACACTGTCCCTTCCACCGGGGGCAGGACAGGGCGGCACAGGGCTGGGGCGGCACAGGGCCCTGGCTCCCATGCTGCAGGCCCTCCGGTTTCCTAACTCTATTGGAACAATGAGGGTCTGCAGCCCGGCTCCTGAGGGCTTGTGGCAACAGACAAAGAGAGCCGAGCCTGGGTGACACGTCTGTGCACCTCTCCCCAGAGACCCTGGGCCCTCCCAGGGGCCCCTCATCCCCTGGGTTCGGGGGCGGGTGGGGGCCCCGCACAGGCCAGACAGCCCGGGAGCCCTAGTGGCCGCTGCAGTCTGGCCCACCAGCCACCAGAGGGCGCCCCAGGACCACACGCAGAGTCAGGGCTGGTGGAGGTGGTCCAGCCGGCAGAGGCCAGCTTTGCCCCTGGACACCAGGGCTCCATCAGGGGCTAGGTGTGACCTGTGGCCTTGCCTGGAGCCCACCCCGGGAGGAGCGGGGCTGTCGGAGGGCGCCTCAGAAAAGACTGGATTTCAGGTAAGCAGGGCTCTGGAACAGGGCCCCCGCAAGGCCTGGGCGCCTGAGAGCCGGTGGACCAGACTCTGAGGGGAAGGGGCCAGGCTTGGGGTTCCCGGGCAGAGGGTCAGACCCAGCCCTGGCAAGGGGGTGGCACTGGGCCCCACATCCACGCTAAAAGACAGCCTGGGCTCACCCCCGCCCTGCTGGCCTGGGGCCTGGCCCTGCTGTGGGTCCTGGCAGAGTCAAGAGTGTGAGGGGAGCGAGGGTCTCCCCAGACCCTCTGAGCCTGGGAGGCAGGAGGCACAGGGCCTTTGCCCTCTTCCCAGTCTCTACTCCAGTCCTGCCCTCTGCCTCTGCCTCCGGGATGCTCTTCTCCAGCCACCCCCAGCCTAGGACCCTCCCTGCCTACAACCCTCAATGGCTCCCAATTACTCCAACAATAAAACCCAGT